TGCCCCCCCCCCCCCCCCCGCCACACACACGCAAATCCCCCGATAGAATTGTTAGACGGTCTTTACCTCTTTACATCTGCTGTCTCAAGAGAGCGTAGTCAGTGTGTGACGCAGGTGGGTGATGTTGGATTGGAGTTGAATCTATGGCCCTACATAATTGATTCCAAATTCTTGCTCTGCTGTTTACTGCTCTACACAGGATGAGTGCTTCTTGATCATGGTAGTTTGCAATTGGGGCAAATCCTCACAGGGAAACCTTGAAACTTCATGGTGAGAGGAGGTGTCAACTGAGAACCAGTGCCTATGGTACTCTACTGCAAGGTCAGCCGCAGGTGGAGCAGCGGTGACATCGTTGCAGAATCATGAATAATAGCAGGAATGGCTGCTGTGCATTGAACATTTGCTCTTTAGCAGCCCGTGTGCCAAGCACCTTATACATCATCTCCTTTAGTCCTCAAAGCAGTCCTATTTCCTAGAGTAGAAAACCGAGGACTGGGAAAGTTGGGTGACCTGCCTTGGTCACACATCTGCAAACGGGAGAGGCAGAATTCATCAAGACTACCATGTCCCCGGAGTCTGAGGGGCTGCGTGCTTCACTGAGCACTTACATGGAGGCAGGTAACTAGTACTAGGGTTGCAAAGTGTGATCACTAACGAACATCACTGTTTAATGACTACAGAAGCTGAGTGTTCCTATAGGTGAGAGACTTGGGATGTTTAGAATTGGTGAAGCTCTTTGTGTAAGGCTGAGTTGTTACCAAAGTGATGGGCAGGAGTCCCGTCTTCAGGGTCATATGGGTGAGAGAGGGAGGCAGGCAGAGACCGCTGTCTCCAGTGGGATAGTGCTTTGGTGGAAAAGTGGGTCCGGGAGTCCTTTTCTCAGGTCAGCCCTGCTTCTCATTATAGGTGGCCCATCACAGGTTAATAAGCCAAACCGAGCAGGCCTTCCCTTCAGTGCTCAGTCACTGCTGCCCTTTGGTCTCTCTGGCTCATTTTCTTCATTTCCAGTCTTCTGCCAAGATGTTGGCATTAACACCGTTCAAGGCCTTGACACATTGTCCTCTACAGAGAGGGCTTGGAAATGGTTCCCTATGCTAGGTTCATGGCATCCTTTCTGCTTGAGCCTTCTTGTCCCAAGCTGCTGAGCAAGTGTGGTGTCAGAGAGGTTCGTGCTCATTGGTTTTCTTGTTTGTGGCACTTTGGCCTTCAGAGGTTTTCCTTAGAAGGGGTTAAAAGTATTGATCAAGGACTTTCTTTTGTGGAATTTTAAAGGAAGATGACTTTCTTACATTCATGTGTGACTTTAGAATGCCATTTATATCCCAGTTATTTTATGGCCATGAGAAGTATTAATTGAATAATAGCTGTGAAGAACTTTGAAGACTGGAACTTTTTATTTGCATGTGAAAAAGTGGGTGGAAGGTTTTGCCATTCCCACTAAAGAGGTCACCTCTTAGCCCTTTTCTTTGTTCCAGAACCCTTTCCCAGGCAGGAACCAGTCCACCTGAGGCTACCTTCTGCCAGCTCTTTTCAGCTTACCTGTCCTAGCTAACCTCTGGGAAGCAGAGGTCATGGGATGAGCCCTGGCTAGAAACCAGTAAATGTCAATAACTGCAATACAAAGAGATGTAGAATACTCTGAGTCTGATTGGAAGGGTTCTGAAGGAGAGAAGAACATTCAGGAGAAAGTTACCAAGGTATGAAATAGCATAGGTTCTAGGTGAAGACAGAGGCCTAGAACGTTTTCAGGGACTGGGGATGGTGGGGTGATGGTACCCAAAATTGTTCAGGTGCTGGGGCAAAGTCACTCTAGGTACAGTAATTCCCCAGGCTTTTTCCTTCACAGGTTGGAAGCTAGCTGGGTGGGCCCTCAGTGGTGCTAATCTCTATCAATTCCACTCTCTTTCAGCACATGCCTTAGCTATACATTAAATTGCCAAGTGCTTTTTTTTTTCTCTACAAATTACATTTTGTATTTCTTTTTGTCTCACTTGCTGTTTTTCATTGCAGACCTGCATAAGAGTACTGGCTCTAACTATGCCACGGGCACAATGTCATGCTGTCTTGAAAGACTCCTAAGGAAATCAGCCCATTACTTTTACATTTAGTCTTGGGCAAGTTCTTAGAGCATGGGCAGAAGGCAGACAGATTCATTGCCAAAATATTGCACAAATGGTCTCAGCCCAGTTGCTAACAGAGACCTTGTTTTCTTCTGAACCCTCTTGAGCTAGGTCCCAGTATGCATCTCTCCCAGCACTGCTATTGTCCGAGCTCTTACTGTAATGGCCCACTAAGCTTTGCTTATAGCATTCAACCTCAAACAAAAAGCAGAGAGAACAAACTGGACTTGAGTGAGGCTATAAAGCAATCGATGCCTCCCCCAGTGATGTGCTTCCTCCATCAAGGCCCTAAAGGGCCCATGACCTCTACAACAGCACCACCATCTGAGGGCCAAGAATTAAAAGCCTCAGGCTATGACATTTGTCATTCAAACTACCCCACAATCATGTATCTCTGGAGCTTGGATGGCAGACCCAGGCTGATATGTTCGTATGTGCATTGTCAAAACCCAGCGACTGACTAGAGCTTGAATGTGTTGCTTGTCAGATTGCTGGTTGTATTGTGTGTCAGGGTTCCAGTTAAAAGAAGTAAGAGTTTGGACTGCTGCAGTGGCTCTGTTGAAGGGAAGAGACACCTTTCCAGGGTTTCCAAGGCAGACTCGGGACAGCAGGAGACAGTGAAGTGTCTTTGGTGACTGGATGGGGCATGTTTCATTCCAGATTGGGGACATGGGAAAGAGATGTAGACAGACCCAGGTGAGCAGAAAATATAAGCTTAGTTTGTGACATTTTAAACTTGGGGTCCCCAGTGGATCTTTGAGTAACAATTTATTTGTATGTTTGTGCCTGGAGTTGGGGGAGAGGTTAGGCCTAGAGAGTTGTGTATGTGGGCACGGCAGGTAGCCTCACAAGGAAGGAGTTATGCTCAAAGTCAAAGAAGTGCTGTGCTTAAAACAGAGCTCAAGAAGCACCAGGTGTGAAGGGAAGCACCCCTCAAAGGCAGTGTGGGCCACTCCCAACCTCACTCTTATCACCTTTTGGGCACTGCTTCCCTTGCTGCTGATCCCCGGATTTTTGGTGTAGTCTTGAGCTTTCTGGAAGCTTCACTGTGGAGGACTGAGCTATCTGGCCTGCTTGTGTGACTCCAGGGCCCTCAAAGCCCTGATCACTTGCACCATCTTCAGGCTCTTTGTCTAGGCACTCATTACATACATGCACTGTCAGCAGCCCACACACAGCCCCATGGAGCTTTACACACCAAGCCTGGCCTTCAACTCAGTTTCTCAGACATGATTTCTCACTGAGTGTTTCAGATTAGGTTGCGTTCTCCAGCTGCTTGGGGTAGGCGGTTCCCAAAGTTAAAATGAATCACATAGAACATCCTTATTACCTTGGTTTGGTCTTTTCCTTGCTTTGGATATCCCTTACATCCCCCACTTTGGAGCAAATACCATTCTTATCCCCATCCCAGTCTGCTCCAACAGGTCCATGCAGCCTACAGGGTGGGGTAGGACAGGATTTGAAGGAGTGCTGGGCCTGCAACTGGGAAGGAGTGGTAATTTGGCTTTGCCTTCTCTCCCGTCTATCTTGCCACTCCCAACATCTGCACAACCAGTAGTGTGCTGTTTGCATCATTTCCCCATCACTAATTCTTAGCCAGTATAGGATCTCCTCATTGGCCTCTGTCCCACCTCTTCCCATGTCTCTCTCTGTAAGGACCTGTTCATGTCTGTGTGGATCCAGGAGGAAGCAGAGGGTGTTAGACTGCCCAGTTCTCAGTGAATGGCCATTTTCCCCACTCTCAGTGTTAATGGCACCTTTGTTTTAACAGTCACTTAGTTAAGGCAAAAGCTCAAATCAGTGGGGAGCAGAATCCTTTTCACTCATTTATTTTCTAAATGCACTGAACATGTGGCCTGGGATCCACGTGGTCATTGGCTTTCCTTAGGACATCATTAGCAATTCTCTTCATGTAGATTCTTGTCATGTTTGCTGTTGTGCAGTACTTATTGATAGTCACATTTATTTCCTTTTTGTACATTTGTGTTGCAGGAAGATACTCCATCATCATGCTACCTAGATGGCGAGGGTCACAGGAGGGGAGATTAAAAAACAAAACAAAACACCATGTCTCCGAGAATAGCATCAGGCACTCACCTGAGCCTTAGTGGAAGAGGGGCTGTGGCTGCCACTGACAGCCATCGCCAAGAAAGTCTCAAGAGTTCCTGGGGCTCAGGAAGCCCTACTTTGGTGGCACTTGGTAACTCAAGAAGGAAGGGAGCTTCTCTTTCCATTCAGAAACTGGGTTTGTCCTTGGAGCCCTGGGGAAACAACAGACCATAAGAAGTTTCTGCAGTCTCAAGAGACAGGTGAAACCAGCAGTTGGTGCCCCCTGGAGGCAGTGGTGAGAAGCTTTCTACAAACCCATGGGCCCAGAGCAGGAGAGGGCATCTCTGTGGATGGTGGCTGATCACATCTGAGAAGCCCTGTTCCTGAAGTTTCCAAGAAGTCAATGAAAGAAGTAAGATTAGGCAGGCAGGTGTCCCACCAAACCTGTCTGTGTGTCTCAGGGATACAGTACAGACAATCATAATTTGACAAACACAGTTCCCAAAACGGAACATGGAAATGAACTCTTAATATATATATATATATATATCTATATCTC